GCCCACCCGGACCCCTCTCTGACTCGCCCTCTGCCTAGGCCCCCCGAGTGAGCCCACCCACCTGGCGGTGGAGGATGTGTCCGACACCACCGTCTCCCTCAAGTGGCGGCCGCCGGAGCGCGTGGGAGCTGGAGGCCTGGACGGCTACAGCGTGGAGTGCTGCCGGGAAGGCTGTGAGTGCCCCGGCCCTGGGCCTCCCCACCATTACCCTCCTCTGAACCAGCCTCCGGGCCAGGCACCTGTCACCCCGCTGGGCCCCAGATGGCCACGGGAGGGTGCGCAGCGGGGTGGCCTGTTGATGCTGACGCTTCCCGTGGGCTTCCCCCGGCCAGGCTCGGAGTGGGTGGCCGCCCTGCAGGGGCTGACAGAGCGCACCTCGATGCTGGTGAAGGACCTGCCCACCGGGGCCCGGCTGCTCTTCCGTGTGCGCGCCCACAACATGGCAGGGCCTGGAGCCCCCGTCGCCACCAAGGAGCCCGTGACGGTGCAGGAGATACTGCGTGAGTGGCCCTGTGCAGTCACAGGGCAGACCTGCCACGTGCGCCCTGGTCCTTGGGGTCAGTGGAAGGGGGCACATCCAGGGAGCCCCTGCTGGGAAAAGGGACCGAACGCTGTGCAGGGAGAGGAGGGTCGGAGGCTTTATTCGTGCCCCAGGCCCAGGGCAAATATTTGGAGAGGGCTCCCTGAGTTTTTCCGGGACAGGGTTCTGGGACAGGGAACATGGAGGTCATTACGCCATTGTCTTTGAGCTCTGTTCTATGAGCCTCTCAGTTCCACAGGTATTGTCCCTGGGCTCATGACTCAGCATCAGATTGGCCCATCTGGGATCCACTTCCCATTCTTCTATTCCCAGCAGAGGATCAGTTATGTAAAGATTGGAAAGAGGCAGCAGACCGGTGGAAACAGCCTGAGGGATAGGGTAGAGACCAAAACCCTACATTTGCATCCTGGCCTGTGACTTGCTAGCTGTGTGACCTCGAACCCGTTGCTCACCCTCTCTGATCCCTGCCTCTCAGAGCGGTGTGGTGAGGCTGAGGTGGAAGCAGGGATTTTGTAGATGACCTGGGGCCGGGACTGGGGCTGGGGGAGCTAAAGGAGGGGCGTTTTCCTTAGCTGCAGCCTTCTGGCTCCGCCTCCGGAGGGGAGGAGCTGTGGCGCTCCTCAGGGCGGAGCTTTCCCCTTGCTGAGCCGCCCGCTTGGCACCCACAGAGCGGCCACGGCTCCAGTTGCCCAGGCACCTGCGCCAGACCATCCAGAGAAAGGTTGGGGAGCCCGTGAACCTCCTCATTCCTTTCCAGGTAGGGCCAGCCACCGTCCCTGTCCCCCGCCTCGTGTGTCATCTATGCCTAGCAGGGAGATGTGTCTCGGGCTGACCAGACCCTGAAATGCCACCCAGTCGTGCCAGGCTCGGGGGTGAGCTGTTCCTCCCCACAGGGCAAGCCCCGGCCTCAGGTGACCTGGACCAAAGAGGGGCAGCCCCTGGCAGGTGAGGAGGTGAGCATCCGCAACAGCCCCACAGACACCATCCTGTTCATCCGGGCTGCTCGCCGGGCCCACTCTGGCACCTACCAGGTGATGCTGCGAATTGAGAACATGGAGGACAAGGCCACGCTGGTCCTGCAGATCGTTGGTGCGTGGTGCTGGGGCCCCTCCTCTGGGATGCCTGGAGCCCCCACAGAAGGTGGCGGGCCAGCTCAGGAGGTGTGTTCCAGCTGGGCTCTCTCCTGCAGACAAGCCAAGCCCTCCCCAGGATATTCGGGTCATTGAAGCATGGGGTTTCAACGTGGCTCTGGAGTGGAAGCCACCCCAAGATGATGGCAACACAGAGATCTGGGGGTACACGGTACAGAAAGCTGACAAGAAGACCATGGTGAGCCTGGGGTCCTGGGCCCCCCATATATACCCTCCTTAGGGCCAGGCAGACCTGGCCCCAGCTCCCGCCTCAGTCATTAGAATGGGTCTGCCGCTCATCCTCCCTCTCTGACCTGGTTCCCTCCACAGTTGGGGTGTAGACACCAGGGGTACCCAGGAGAGGTCCCTGGCAGATAGTAGGGCCAGCCCCCAGAGAGCCCCCCTTTCCTCCACACCCCCAGGAGTGGTTCACCGTCTTGGAGCATTACCGCCGTACTCACTGCGTGGTGTCAGAGCTCATCATTGGCAATGGCTACTACTTCCGGGTCTTCAGCCATAACATGGTGGGACCCAGTGACAAAGCCGCCACCACCAAGGAGCCTGTGTTTGTCCCCAAACCAGGTGCTGTACCTCTACTCCCACCCCCAGCAGGAGCTGGGGCAGGGAGGCGGTGGGAGCAGGGAGGGGGCCGAGTGTGGGGTGACACTCTTGGTACAAAGTCCTATCACCAACAGGCATCACGTATGAGCCCCCCAGCTATAAGGCCCTGGACTTCTCTGAGGCCCCGAGCTTCACCCGCCCCCTGGTGAGCCGCTCAGTCATCGCCGGCTACAATGCTACCCTCTGCTGTGCTGTCCGGGGTAGCCCCAAGGTACAGAGCTTGGGGTCCCGGGCCAGGCCGACTCAGGAGGCAGGGTTCAGAGGCTCCAACCACCAGCGGTCCTCTCCCCAGCCTTTCCCTGCGTTCTGTCCCACGGGGCTCAGGGCCGGGCGCCTCTGCCTGAAGAGGGCCTTGGCAGTCTCCATCGGTTCCCTGTTCATTCCCTGCTTGGGTATCGTGTGGACTCCAGTGGGAGCCCCTAGAATAGAAAGAGGTTCCCGCGAGGTCTCCTGTCAACCTGAGATGGTCTCCCTTCCTCCCGTTACCTGACGTATAGCCCAAGATTTCCTGGTTCAAGAACGGCCTGGACCTGGGGCAAGATGCCCGCTTCCGCATGTTCAGCAAGCAGGGAGTGTTGACCCTGGAGATTAGAAAGCCCTGCCCCTTTGACGGGGGCATCTACGTCTGTAGGGCCACCAACTTACAAGGCGAGGCACAGTGTGAGTGCCGCCTGGAAGTACGAGGTGAGGAGCCCACGGGACCAGGGTCCGGGGTGGTGGAGAAGGCAGGGAACCAGCTGGGACCCTGCTGGCCTGGCCCACGCAGCTCCTCTGGCTGAAAGAGCAATGACCCTGTCGTGTCCAACGTGGGCATTGGCTTCTGGGCTCTGCTGCCACAGCTGCCCCCTCGGCCTCCCAGGAGGCTGGCGGGGGGAGGACGTGCAAGGTGCTGGGAGAGGGAACACACGTGTGGCATGGCCTCCTTCTCCCCTGCAGTGCCTCAGTGACCCAGCTGGCTCCCCGGAGACGGCCAGGTATGTCCTCCAAGCCATCCCGACGCCCCCGGCCCAAGTCAGAGGCTGAGCCCTGGTCCTCGGTTCGGGGGCAGCCATCAGGAAACAGAGGTGCAGGCGCCTCTTCCCAGGGTTTCAGTCAAGTGCATTCACAAGGGAACCCGTGTTACAGGTGCTGCAGGATGCCGGCCCGTGTCCCGGGAGCCTGGAAGGACGCTGCACAAGCCGCCTTCCTGCTGTTGGATGTGTGTGCTCAAGTGTGTATCCGGGGGCTGGGCTGGGGGAGCGTCAGGATGGCAAGGCCGTGAAGACGAGCAGGCCTGGGGCTCTGCACAGACCGAACCACCGGAGCTCCCCCTGGAAGCTCTCAGGACTTTGGGGCAGAAAGTTGGTGGGCGCAGGAGATGGTGGCTGGGGACAGGCCTTTCTGGCCTGCCGCGTGTTCTCACAGGCTATAGGGCAATAAAAGACGACTGCAGTCAGAGAGCTGGCTCTTCTTGTCCGATGTGTTTGTTTTCACAAAAAGCCCAGGGAAAGACACTTGACCTTCCGAGCAAACTGAGGCAGGTATTCTGTCTCCCGGGTGAGAGGGGAATCCTAAACCCACAAGACACTAGAAGAAACCTCCGTCTTCCCCCACCGCGCATGTTCTTCCAGTGAGGAAAGCAAGGGGCAGTGACGGAGGGGGTGTATTAGCAACAGAGCTGACACCCAAGGCTCTCCCGCCTGGTCCCCCGTGCTCTGTATGCTCTTTGTCCTGCCGACCTGTGCTCACAGCAGCCTGGACGCGGGGCGGAGCTGAACTTCAGTGTGGCTCTGGGCCCATAAAGCCTGGAATGGAGCTGCCCCAGGCTGCCTTGGGGTTCCAGTGCGTAAGAAGCCCACGGCCCTTCCACACCTGTTTCCCAGTAGGAAAGGGCAGTCCTGTCCAGCACAAGATACTGGGAAACAGGGCCCTCCTCTGCTCTTCCTTCCCCCGTGGGAGCCTAAATCCAGTCATCAGTTTACTTTTGGGAAGAGGAAGCCAACGGGTCTCAGAGGTGCCCTAACAGAATGTGGATGGTCTTGGGGCGCCTGGGTGGCTCAGTCGGTTAAGCATCGGACTCTTGATTTTGGCTCAGGTCAGGATCTGAGGGTCATGAGATCGAACCCTGCATGGAGCTCCACGCTGGGTGTGGAGCCTGCTTAAGATTCTCCTCCCCTCCCCCACTGCCCCTGCACTGCTCTCTCTCAAAAAAAAGAAAAGAAAAAAATAAGTGGATGGTCTTTCTTGTCCTAGGGAGTGCCAGAGGTTTCCCCATGGCATAGAAAAAAACAATTCCAGGAAGCCTGGTCCTAGGGTTCCTTCTGTCCGAGTTCTACCCAACCCAAGGCACTGCTGGCCAAGAGCTCAGAGCCCGGGGCTCCAGGCCCTGTCCAAGTCACACCCTGAGTCACATCCCCTCTCTGGACCACGCCTGTGAGGGGCAAGGGGAGCCTTGGTTTTTCCTTCACTGCTACGTGACTCTGCTCAGGTGTCTTAGCCGGGTTTGGCTGCTTCCTCTGGTGGCCAGTTCTCAGCTCAGCACCCCCCTGCAGGACTAGGGGGCAGAGGGCAGGAAGCCCTCCCCAACCTCTCCCTGGGCGTCCAGGAAGCCAGGTGAGGGGCACTGCTGGGTCAGTGGGGTGGGAGGCTGGGCCTCCAGCACGCCAGGACTCGGAGGACCATGATCTCCTCTCTCTCCTGCTAGGCCTGAGGGGCCTTCGTAGAGTCCAGGGACAGCTCCTCAGGCCCAGGCCGAGAGGAGGCAGCGTTAAATATAAGGCAGGAGGAGCCCAAGGCGAGTTAAGGACATTTATTTCACATTCACACATCTGTACATTTTCTATAAATAACGTAGAGGTGAACTATGTACAATCCTCTCTTGCCCACTCCCAGGCCATCCCCCACTCTGGCACCTAGGGCCAGGGGCCGCTGTCTGCAGACACGGGCCACGTACACTGAACGTGGCCCTGCCCCACGCTGCTCCCTGGGCACGGGAGCCAGGGGCCTCTGAGGCTCTCCCAGCCCAACCACTTTGCTCTCTCAGGCCAAACGCCAGGCAGACCTTAGGGAAATTGCCGCTCGGCAAAGGGGAGCCCCTCGGTGCTGCCCCCCTGCAAGGGCCACGGCGGGCAGCCGCCAGCCTGGGAAATGCATGAGGGGGAGGGAGGCTGCCACTCACCCTGCCGCCCCGTGACTCTCCCGGCCTTTCCCTGCCCACCTCTCATCTGGGCGGACAGGCCTCAAGCTTCCCTCCCTCGGTACCAAATGGGACTTCACCCGACACCCAGGCACACCGGGCCCCAGAGGACGGAGAGCCAGAGTCCTGCACTGGAGGCTCATAACGCCAAGGACGAGGAACCACAACACGAATGTCTCAGGGACACACGATGGTGGGCTCATACCGTGCTCAGAATTCTCAGAAGCCACTGGCCCCAAAGACAGACACACATGGCTCTTGAGCCCTGAGGGGACAGCAGGCTGGTCTCCTGGGAGTGGAGAGCGAACAGGCAGAGGAAACCCGCTGAGCCCTGTGACAGACACTAAGACACGTGGAGACACACAACTGTGAACCAACTAAGCCACAGCGAGGGGCTTGCAGAGAACACACACGCAGCATCGTGCCCTGGCGAGCAGAAGATGCAAGGGCACCCCCTGACCTGGGGGCTCTTAACCCCTCCCATCAGCTCGAGACGGGCCGGGGCGGGGTCCTGAGATCTTCCTCACTGCTACGAACTGCAGCCACGTACGAGAAGAGACACAACACAGAGTAGCAGATCTCATGGGCCTAGAGGGGAGAGAAAGACCAGACGGATCAAATTCCTCAGATTCCCCCATCTCCATGCAGGGAGATCTGCCCAGCAGAAAAGTCTGCCCTTGCGCTGGGCTCAGCCTCACAGCTGACTGCTGGGACTGGGGGTCTGTGTGTGTGTGTGTCTCTCCCAGGGCTGAAGACTCGTTTCGGCTTCCAGACCAAAGGCAGCTCTCCAACTGTCCCTAGTCCGCCTGCCCCCGTGCTCTCAGGGGGCCCGCCCCACTCCTGTGTGAGGGTCCCCAGGGAGCCCTGCGCACACTTGGCCTGCCGGCTTGGGTGGCACACTCACCATTGGCGTCTTGTACTTGTGGCTCACCACTTCTTTAATTTCAGGAACTAAAACCGGACGGGCAAGAGACAAAACAGAAAGTTCAAAACTAAGAGCGATAGTGCCAGGCTCCCCCAGGCGGCAGCGCCCGGCACGGGGGTCCCCTTCCCCACGGTGGCCTGTCCCAGGGGCTGCAGCAGCTTACACTCTGACGGCACCTGCCCAGCCGCTGCTGGACGAGAGGACACTGCCCCAGACTCCGCAGCCAGACCTGTGGGGTCTGCTGGGGCTCCCTGCTCGATGGCCACGACTCTAGCCGCTTCTGGGAGAGCCTCCGCACAGGAGTGGGCTGGCCTTTCACCAGCCTGATCGCTGCTAATGTCCAGGGCCCCGAGGAGCTGCAGTGGGGCATTGCCCCATGTTGGTCGGGTGAAGAGCGTTGTCTCTAGCCTGTGCCTCACCTTGCTGAGATGCCCGAGAACTCATCCCTGTTACCAGCCCGACACTCTGTTCATGTTAAGCATGGTTCCCTGTACTCCCAGCCCCTACGCAGAGGGTCCTTAGGCTGGATGAAGAAGTGGCATGATACTAAAACCCAGCAGACTTGTAAGTGTCCTTCCCTGAGTGGCAAGAGAGGCCCAGGCCTGCCTGTGTGAGGGAGAGCGTCAGAGGGCTCTGGAGCAGACACACCGAGCAGAAGACAGGCGAGTATAGCACCCGGGGAGGGAGGTGACAGGGAGCATCAGGCAAAGTACACACATGTCCACAGCCCAGAATGCAAGACTAAGTCACCCCTGCCCCAGCCATGCAGGGGTTCTGCTTGGCCAGAGGAAGGAGGAAGGCCCCCCCGGGGGCCCAGCCATCCTGATGGCCCCTGGAGAAGGGAGCAGAGGGGTGTGGTGTCCCCCTGGGGGCCAGAAAAGGTAGGATGAGAGTTGGCCACACCTTCTTCTGACCCTGGGAGGTAGAATTCGGGGGGGACCCAGGGTTAACAGGGAATAAACTCATCATAGGTAGAGCAAGAAGCCCAGGTCCTTCTCCTGAGTTGGAAGATTCCCCCAAATATCTCTCTGGCAGAAGAGAGAAGGGAACACACAGGGGAGAAAACTCAGAACCAGTCAGCCAGCACGGGGGAGGTGGGGGGGGGGGCGGAGAAAAGGGCAGTGTGAGCAGCTGGTCTGGTTGAAGGGAGCCCGTCCCACCCATGGCAGGGCCCAGGCAGGGGCCTGGGGGGGAGGCAGCACGAGCCGAGGTCACTTTACCTGCTGGAGAACGAAGGTTTTCATAGCAGCGATGAGGGGCACAAAAGAATGAAGCACAAACACAGCAGGAACTCAAAGCCCCAGGGTGAGAACCCACTACACCACCGGTCAGCGTCGGCGCCTGGCTGCGGGGATGCAGGGAGGCTGGCCGCCAGCCTCCCGCGACAACTGCCCTGCCTGCCTCTGAGGCCCACTAGGCTTCCCTGCCCTCTCGAGTGAGGCTGCCCGGGCCACCGCACGGCCCTGCTCCCGCACAGAGGCCAGGCGGACACCAGGGCGGCACTGGGGTGGCTGGATGGAGTCCCGGGCTGCTAGGAGGAGCTCAGCAGGCGACACGAACACAGCAGAGCTTGGAAACTGCCCGTCTGCTCTGCCCCAGAACTTTCTGACCACCAGCTGGCCGAGAAGGGAAGGCGGCACCCGCTCCTGGAGCCTCCGGAGGAGCGCCTCTGACCTCTAACCCCGTCTAGGGCCACTTTCTCTTCGGCGACCCGTTCCCTAGCAGCCACTGTCTCGCTCTTCCTTCTTCTTCCTTCCCCTCGCTCATCGCGGGTTCCCTTCTCTTCCCTATCACTCCTAAGCCTCCTGACCTCTCTGCAGAGGTGATTCTTCTCTCTGCCTCTAGTCCCTCCTCTGGAGCGCCGAGGTTTGAGTTACTGCCATGTGAGTCCAGACCTAAGAGCAAAATAGTGTAATTACCAAATTCCTCCAGGACAAAGACGCCTCGGACTGTATTGCACTTTTTAATGTGATTCAGCTCTATGAAAACCTGCAAGAGAGGGAGGGAGGGAGGGCGGGGTCAGGCCCGGAGGCTCTCCCCCTGCCCCACAACTGCCCACTCTCCCGGCTACAGCCCCGCCCCCACACAGAAGACCTAGTTCCCAGAGTGAGGGCCGGAGAATCCACACACACGCAACTCAAAAGCGCTAAGAAGCGAAGACAGCAGAAAGGGCATGTACCTTCCGCTCCTGGCCGGAGGAGAAAGCATGGGAGAGAAATGAAGGCGTTAGTTTTAATGGTCAAACCCAACCCGAAGGCCCCTCTGCTGTCCTGGGCTGCCCGCCCATCCCCTCTGCCCAGGGCAGCGCTTGGAGGACACGGTGCCCCGGGGGTCTCCCCGCTCAGCCCATCAGCTCTCTACCCTTCCATGCATCCTCCTCCGGCGCAGAGGGCTGGCACGGGTGCAAAGCTCCCCTCGGATTGTCCTTGGGGTAGGAGATGTTGATATCTTCCTTGACACAAAATCCAGGCTCTCCCAAGAAGTACACGGAGAGAGAATAACGGCTATCGCTTAGGAGCTCCGACCAGGAGTCCTCCAAATCCTATTTGTAATCCTCACATCCATGTGGCCCAGTGTGTAGTACGACCCTCATTTTATAGAGGAGGACACGGGATCAGAAAGTTTATCTGCCCAGGAGTAACGAAGCTGGGCTCTGAATCCAAGCACATCCTGACTCCAAAGATCCGTTTGTTACCCCACCCTGTAGGACTCCACCAGAGGGTCCAATGCTTCCTCAACTCCAACAGACCGTTCATGGTGGAAGATGGACCCCACGGCTGTTCTCTTGTGATCAGTCGGGGCCTGACTCCCCTCTCTGCAGGATCTCTCTTCTAGGGCAAAGCCTTAAGCTACAGACCAGCTTGTACATATCCGTGGACTGGTTAGACACTGGGTCGGTCCAGAGCGGGGGACCCAGAAGGGGGCTGGCTGTTGTTTAACAAGATCTCCTCTTCAGAAGGTGAGGCATCAGGGCAAGCCACGGCACTAAAAGGCAGTCAGAAGCCTGCTCCCCAAGAAGTGCTGGCACCTTCGTGCTCCAGAAAAGTACTCCAAACCTCTCCTTGGGCTGACCCGAAGGTCTCAAGTATGCTATTTAATATATTAAAATCACGGATAGTAAATGTACTGCTGGAAATACACTGCCTGAGCAGCTGTTTCCCATCACACCAAAGCTGCCCGGTTGGGTTCCTGAAAGAAGAAACTAAAATGGCAAGGGGAGGAAGCAAGCCACGGAGTCCAGAGGGTCACCTCCCCTGAGTGTCTGCTGCCTGGCCCGGGGCTGTGGTGCTCTCACATTCAGACCTGGCTCACAGCCTCAAGGAAAGGAACCAGGACGTCAGGGAAGGGGGAGGGAAGGCACTTGTGTGAAGAGTCAGAACGGGGAACGGACCTGGGCTGATGCGCTGGCCTCAGAAAGGAATTAGCTTAAGGAATGTCCACTGAGAGAAAAAGTAACACTGTGTTAAAAGACCAAGAGAAAGAAAAAAAAAAAGTCAGCTCCTATGGTGGAATCACAATGAGAGAAAGATGTATTCTGAAGTGGTCCCCAGTCAAAAGAAGGGGAATGGGGCCTGTGGAGCAGGGGACAGAGTGGGGACACTCAGAGGAATGAAAAGAATAGAAAGAAGAATCAGCAGGAGAAATAGGCAAATAAACACACATACTCCAGATAGGACAGACACAAGCTACACACACACACACACACATAGGCAAATAAACACACATACTCCAGATAGGACAGACACAAGCTACACACACACACACACACATGCACACACGCACACACACACGCACACGCACACGCACGCACACAGGCTTCACGCACACCAGAAACACGCGAGGAGATGAGCTGGTCTAGACTCTTCAAAGCAAAACCACCAAGCAGAAGCACCCCCTGGGAATAAGGGAAGGCAGACATTGTGCGAAGAAGGGCCAAGTGAGACGCTCCCACTCACACTGTGCTGAGTCTAACGGACGGAGGCAGCCTAGCCACCACGGCTCCCTCTCTTTCCCCGCCTCCCACAGAGGCTCCCCACTGCACCTTCCAGGTGGTTGCCAACGTCACTGTGCCCTCCTTCTGATTTCTCTCTCTGGTCCAGCTGCTCCCATCCTCCCACTAGCCCCAAAGGCCCGCAGGCTCACTGGAAAGCACTGGGACCTGGACACCGAGCCTTACTGCAGATGGAAGAACTGGGCCAGGCAGCCGGGGCTGCCGCTCCCACCTACCTGGTTGTGCATGAACTTGAGATTGATCCCTTCTAGGGTGACCTGCAGCAAGCCACCCTCACCAGTCTTCATGTCCTGCACGGGGAACTCGCCACCTAGTTCAGGGCCTGTGGTGGGGGAGGAGGTCATCAGCTAACTGGGGGGCTGGGGAACCGTCAGGCCTCTGACGCTCAGAAGGATGGATGGAAACAAACAAAAGGCCCTTGCTCGGGGAGTCCTTGTCTTCTCACCGGGTTTGATGCTCTGCTGCCGGGCAGCGGCCCGCTCCATGCTGTCCTTCACGCAGTAGTACAGCTCCCGACACTGCGGCACAGGGCGAGGACCATCCTGTCACCCAACCTGCCAGGTCCCCCCGCGCTGCTCTCCACCGCCTGCCAAGGGCCGGGGCACCGGGCCCTGGAGACAGCTCTATGCGTCCCACACAACAGCCAGAGGCCAAAGGGGGGCTCTCGACATGGGCTGTGGCATTTTAACCTCCTCGCCAGAAACCTGACGCCTGGCCCTCAGCATCCCCCTCCGCCCAAACAGAGCTCCTGGTACCTTCTTGGTATAGAACTTGTTGAGCTGAGTCTCAGAGCCGTTCCTGCGCCACAGGCACAACACCTTGGTCTTGGGGCAGTAGGTCATGTTGATGAGCTTCTCATACCACCAGCGCTCATGCACCGTCCCGAGGTTACTGCGCAGCACCACGCAGTCATCGCACACCTGCGGGGGGACCCGGTGCTTAGAGCCTCCGTTGCCACGGGCCGCGCTGGCCTGCCCCCCGGGGGCAGCACGGGGCAGCTGGTCTGGGAGCACCCCATGGTCAGCTGCCCTGCCCCCCGCTCACCGTCCTCCTTCGCTGGGGACACAAACACTGACCTGCTGGACCTACTGTCCGCTGGGAGGTTTGCTGAAAGAAAAGGAATCACGGAGAGGAGCCGGCGAGCAGGGAGGGGGAGCAATCAGTGTTTCAATTTCCACCTCACCCAACGTCTACCACCTCTCACATGCTCTAGACTTATGAGGGTGTCTCCCGCCGCCAGGTGCCAACCTTACGGACCATCTCTGTGGGTGAGCGCAGAGGCAGGGGTTACGGCAGGCTTAACCGAGGAGAAAAATATGGAACCAAGGCAATTTCTAATACTGGCTCAGCCGTAGTTCTGCATATATCTTTTCAATAATTAATCACACTAGTGACACTTGGGCAACGCTCACCGCAGAAAATATTATATAATACAGGGTGATATAATTAAAAGGCAAACTCCTCCTTCACATTCTCTTTTTAATACTGTAAGTCCTTTGTAATTAATTAATTCTGAGAGAGAGAGAGTGCGCGTGCACGCAAGTGAGCGTGAGCGGCAGTGGGGATGGGCAGAGGGAGAGGGAGAGAGAGAATCTTAAGCAGGCTCCACGTCTAGGGTGGAGCCCGAAGCAGGGCTCAATCTCATGACCCTGAGATCATGACCTGAGCCAAAATCAAGAGTCAGACGCTCAACCCACTGAGCCACCCAGGTGCCCCCTTCACAGTCTCTTCTTATTCAACACTCTCCCTCTAAGATCAGACTGTGTTAGGTTTCCAGCTGTCCATTACTTAGCTATGTCACCTTGAACAAGCTGCTCTGCATCTACATCTCCTCGTGTGAAGATTAAATAAGTCAATGTGCGTAGAATTCTTAGAACAAAGCCAGGCATATAGGAAGTACCCTAGAGTTAGATGTTGTAACATTATAATTATAATATAAAAAAATGTAACAATGATTATTATGACCCCACTGATGGTTCTCAAATCTTTCTCCACACAAGACCCATCTTCCTGAGTTCCTGAACCACTCTCTATCTGGATGGCTCACAGGCAGCACCTCGAGCTCATCATTTCCAAATGTGAAGTCAGCATTTCCTCCTGGGCAGATCCTCCTTCTGAGTCCCCTAGTTGAGTAAATGGTGTCGCCATTCACCCAGCTGCCCAAGCCAGAAACGAAGGAGTGATGTGAGACTCCTTGTTTTCCCTCTCACTACACCACTGAGTCCCATCCATTTCACCTCAAATACCCCTGGAACTCTCCCCCTCCCCCGCTCCAGCCATTAATTCATACTTCTTTCAAGTCTCAGCTCAAAGGTCACTTCTGAGCGGTCATCCACAACTTCTACACCCTCTACTATGTATTCCCATACTGCCTGCCTATGCCCTGAGCATCTTCTCTCATAACACTCATTACTTTATGACACTTTGTTTCATTAGCTGACTTCCCCAATGGCTTGTCAACCCCATAAGGACAAGAGAAACCATGTCTCTCTTATTCATTGCTATAACCACATACTCAGAGTAGCTGGCATATCGTATGTGCTCCATAAATATTAAATGAATGAAAAAGGAATACACAAGACTACCAGGTTTAATCTACTACCTAAGAGTTACAAGGTTCTAAAAGCCTTATGAAGGATAAGGTCATATAGTAGCTGAGTAGAAATTAGAATTCTAGCCCTAGTCTGACTCTAGTTTTCTCCAGGTGAAAAATGAAGACTACTACCCCCACTTTCCATAATCCTTTAAGAACACCATGTAAAGGTGAGGGGCAGGACAGGTATTTAGAACAAATGATTTCTAGGCTAAAGAGATGACAGTAATAATGTACCATACTCGCCTATGCTGCTGGTGGAGAAATAAACTGGTATAGTCTTTGGGATGGTATTTGGCAGAATCTATACAAATTTTAAATCTATATAAGCTTGATCCAGAAATTTCACATTAAGAATCTAGCCTATAGAAATTCTCATGTGAAGGGGCACCTGGGTGGCTCAGTTGGTTGAGTGCCCAACTCTTGGTTTTGGCTCAGGTCATGATCTTATGGGTTGTGGGATGGAGTCCCAGGATGGGCTCCACGCTCAGCAGGGAGTCTGCTTGAAGATTCCTTCCCTTTGCCCCTCCCCCAACGCATGCTCACACACATTGCTCTCAAAATAAAATAAAAATAAATTTTAAAAAGAAAAAGAAATTCTCATGTGTATTCTCAAGTATATTCAATGAAACATTTAAAAAAAAGTGAGAGGGACTAGTTGAATAACTTATGGTATACATCCATATAACACCTAATAGCTAAAAAAACAAAACAAAATTAATCATCCGTTTAAAAAACAGGGACAGGGGTGTGTGGCTGTCTCAGTTGGTGAAGCATGTAACTCTTGATCTTGGGGTTGTGAGTTTGAGCCCCATGTTGGGTATAAAGCTTACTTAACAAAAACAAAGCAAAGCAAAACAAAACAAAAAACAAAAAAAGAAAAAAACAGAGACAGATTTAGGTAACATGTAGACATGGAAAGGTGTCAGTCATAAATTAAAAATCAAATTATATCTCAATATTTGTAGTTTGATACCACTTTTGTAAACACTGAAACAAAATTACACATAAGTAAATTGTATTTATACAAATATGCATTTTTAAAAATCAGGCCAAACTCTTTAAGAGTGGTTACCTCTGAGACATGGCATTGGAAGGAAGTGAAGGGAAACTTTTACTTTTTATTTCATTTACTTCTATATGGTTTGAAACTTTCACAGCATATACTGTTTTACTTCTGTAACTTACTATTATTTTTTTGAGAGAGAGAGAGCGCTTGCACGCACAAGCAGGGAGGGGCAGAAGGAGAGGGAGAATCTTAAGCAGGCTCCATGCCCAGTGTGCGGAACCCAACTAGGGGCTCGATTTCATGACCCCGAGATCATGACCTGAGCCTAAATCAAGAGTCAGACACTTAACTGACTGAGCCGCCCAGGCGCCCTAATCTACTTCTGTAATTTAAAAAAAAAAGTAATAAAGGGGATTTTTAAAAGTCTTTGCAATCGCTCTCCCAGTGCTCCTGCAGCCAGCAGGCTGTGCAGAGATGAGAAAGGCTAAATCAGGCTAAGCGTAGCGAGTGGCTAACGGGGTGAGTGAGGTACAGTCTTATTTGACACCTTAAGGGAGAGGCATCTATAAAGTGATGGCTCCACCCATACTCCAGGAACTTTGTATGAGGCTCCCCTGTGTGGTGGTGAGAGTTAGTCCTATACTTCAAGGAATCTTCTGGATTTATTCTTTAAAAGGAAAAGGAGAGGGTGAGAATCACCTGCCACCTCTTTGTGGTGCAGATGTCCAAAGTTAGTCCTCAGCTCGAGGAGACACCTAGCCAAATTCTAGAACTTCACAGTAACATGAAAATGACTCTCTTCTCGGCTACACCAACATGCATGGTTCTACTTCAGGGCAGAACCCCTGCCCCATGTTTGATAAACCACTCGTTCAAAAGCTGTGGATGTAAAAATCAAACTCAACTAAACCAAAAGAAAACAGAATACTTGTAAAATTATTTAATTTTACTACTTTATATAGGAGTTGTACTTGATTCCTACAATTATGTAGAAGAGATTCATTTTAGAATTAAAAATACAGAAATAAAGAAACCACAGCCAATTTCCTTTACAGTCTTGGAATAAGGAAGGGTTTTTCTAACTATGACTCAAAACCCAGAAGCTTTATAAAAAAAAAAAAAAAAGATGAATTCAACTACATAAAAGTAAAAAGATTCTGCCAAGAGCTGGAGGGAGGGTAAAAAGAAAAAGTAAAAAAATTCTGCATGGCAAACAAAACAAAACAAAACAAAACCCATAGGCAAACTCAAAGGACTGATGAGGAACTTCACAGGGAACAATAGATCAGGCTGCCCACATCTCAACCTACTGATCTCTAAGAGAGAGAGATGACCATATGGGGCAACAGGCAACATACAGCACCAACCATGAAGTATTCTTGCCAAAATATTGAATCTGAAACTCATCAAACCCCTAGGTTGAACTACTAGCTTATAAAAAATACAAGTGATGGAGAAACATGTTAACACCAAAGAGATGCAATCAGCAGAAAGTCTAGAATGTGAGATACTCCATGGGGCACATTTCTTCAATGAAATAAATGGCAAAGCGGGAGGGGAGCTATTATATGTTATGAGATACGTCTGAGTCCTGTCAGTCAAAGCCATCAATGCATTCTTCCTTCAGTGTGGTGATGGCCTCTGGGAGCTCTTACAGAGCTGCGCGTGTATGGGGGGCAGCAGGCGGGCACATAGATACTGACTGGTTAAGTCAACTATTGTATAGCAGCACCATGGAGTACCATGCAGCTGTAAAAAGAATGAGAGCCAGAGGAAATACAGTGAATGACATCGTAATGATGTATGGTGACAGATGGTGACCACACTTATCATGGTGAGCACTGCATAATGTACAGAATCGTCGAATCACTACGCTGTACACTTGAAACTAATCTAACATTGTACATCAACTCTTCTTCAACTAAAAAAAAAAAAGAGAACCCTCTTTTTGTACTGACATAGAGCTCTCCAGGATATGTTCAATGAGAAAAGCAAGGTACAGATCAATGGATCTGATGTGCTACCTTTCTGTAAGAAAAAAGAAAAAGAACTTATGTTCATATTGTATTGTGTTTGTATAAAATACCACTGTAAGATACAAAGGAGACCACAGAAGTGGTTACCTATAGGAAGAAGGGGTGAGGGGGATGGGAAATTGAGAGGAAGGGGATAAAAAAGACAGCAAGACTTCCCAATGCCTACCATTTTAAGTTGTCCTGACTTACGGACAATGCGACTACATCATGTATTCAACATCTATTTAAAACAAATGATGGTCAATTATCCATTATATTACTTGCGTAAGAGCCTGACAATTTAATGATAAATGGATCATGAAGATGAACGAGATTAAGTGGGAGAAATCAGGTATCAGGTCTAGAAGTTCCTCATGACTCTCAAATGTCCCTTTGAGACATATGAACTAGCATTTACCTCCATGAAGAAGATATCTCCATTTGTGTCTGTCCCTGCATGTACCACAAATGTCTGCTTCTTCATGTGCCGGCTGCCGCTGGACCGGATACAGAGATCACGTCCATTCTGAGAAAAGAGAGATCTGTTAGGGACATCCATATATCTCTCTCACAGAGCTCTCTGGGCCAAGAATTCTGCTCCCACCCCAACTTCAGCTATTAAATTCCTACCAGTTTACTTAGCACAGTGCCATCTGCTGGTCACAGGCCACAAGGGCCGTGCTCTCAAACTTCAGGGTCTTAGGGCCCCTGTATCTCTTAAAAATTATTCACAACCCCCAAGAGCTTAGGATTATGTGGGGTATATTTATAGATATTTACCATATTAGAAATTAAAACTGAAAAATTTAAAAATTAATTCATTTTAAAGTCATTAATAATATACCTGTTACATGGTAATACAAATATTTTAAATAACATTTCCCAAAACAACAACAACAAAAAAAGAGAAGACTGGCACTGTTTTACATTTTTCACATGTTTGTCTTTAAAAAACAGCTGGATTCTCATATCTGCTTCTGCATTCCATCCATTGTGTTATGTTGCTTTGGGAGGTATATAAAGAAAATCTGGTCTCACAGATATGTATTTGGAAAAGGAAGGAGTATTTTAATAGATTTTCCAGATAAATATGTGTATTTTTCTTTGGTAATTACACCAAAACTTGAGAAGTAACAGTTTCTGATAGTTGCAATATGAAATCTGAAAACCCATCAAAATGAACATTTTGTACTTTGTAACATGAAATCCGTTTGTCTGCCTTGCATTTTGAGTGGATCTTCACTTATACTTGAATTTCTACCACCACCCAACGGTCTTTTGGAAAATACTGGTTTAAGGAGTAATGCAGCTCTTCCAAATATTAAATATTGACACACTTCATTAGAGAATATAAAAAAATCACACTGATTAATATCATCAATCTCATTACAAAGCCTTTAAATATCAGGAAGCTTCATGCTTAGAAGTCTGCCAAATAAATACCCAACTCTGAATAACCACAGTTAGTCATTCTTCCAAGTAAAAACGATGTCCCATGAACAAAACTGACAGTTCACCTTGCAACTCAAATTGTCACAAACTGGTTTTCCTTGAAACAATCATATTTTGGTTTGCAACACAAATACTTCCTGTATATTTCTCATTTTGTCACATTAAATATTAAAAAGATGTATAATCAATGATCAGATTTAGTAAAATTAATGATTTTAATGCTTTCATCAAGAACATTCATAAGTGCAACTATTTTTCTTTCTCTTTCTCTTTTTTTTTTTTTTTTAAAGATTTTATTTATTTATTTGAGACAGAGAGAATGAGAGACAGAGAGCATGAGGGGGAGGAGGGTCAGAGGGAGAAGCAGACTCCCTGCCGAGCAGGGAGCCCGATGCAGGACTCGATCCCGGGACTCCAGGATCACGACCTGAGCCGAAGGCAGTCGCCCAACCAACTGAGCCACCCAGGCGCCCTCTCTTTCTCTTTTAAACGGAGAGAGCTGAATGGCTCCTAGCATGGTTCAGTACTACTGCCTTCACTGTGTGAAGGTGACCAGCAGTTTATCCATCACTGCTTTTGTACCATCAGTGCAAATGTCAACCCGGTTAAAAAAGGCAAACATTGTAGTACTATGATGAAAACAGGTTTTAGCTTGTGGAGCCTTAGGAGTCCACAGACCACATGCTGAAATGGCTGCACCAGGATGGTTTTAGTACAGAGAATCCTATCCCAGAACAGAAGGACTAAACCCTTATCTAGACTCAAAGCCCTATTTTCAAAACTGGGGTCTTGAAAATATACAGGCCAAGAAATGACCCATGGGGAAGCCTCTGCATTAGGCGACGAGGTCCCAGCCAGGGAGGTGACGCGACAAGTACGGTGGGAGGGGAGCCTAGGGGACGGCGCAGACATGCTTACCAGGTTTGCCAGCTGATCAAGCACTTCATTGATTTGCTGGCTGTACACAAGCCCAATATGGGACTTTCCCATCAGGCGCCTCACCTTCTTCCGGATGTCATTCTTATTTACCTGGAAAGCCAAAGCGAGATCTTAATGAGGGATCTGCTCTCCTTGCAAATGACGTAGAGGGAATGTACAAGCAAGTTTCCTACCATCTGAGACAATTCGGAGTCCACACACTGAATACGAGAGAAAACATTCAACTGTCTATTCTGCCAACAGGCTGGGAAGGAAAAACCTGGCTGTCTCTGGGTGGCTTCTATAGAAAAGTAGCTCTGGGGCGCCTGGGTGGCTCAGTTGGTTGGGCGACTGCCTTCGGCTCAGGTCATGATCCTGGAGTCCCTGGATCGAGTCCCGCATCGGGCTCCCTGCTCGGCAGGGAGCCTGCTTCTGCCTCTGACCCTCCCCCCTCTCATGTGCTCTCTCTCTCTCATTCTCTCTGTCTCAAATAAATAAAAAAAAAAAAAAAAAGAAAAGTAGCTCTGAAGCAGGTCTGGTTCAAATGGACTGGGGTTCAAGGAGACACTTCCTCCCTATCCCCAACCAATACTGTAACATTCACCCCTGAAGGGCCCTAAGAACCCTGGGGCTCCTCAGAGTATAGTTCAGAAATGAGGCCTCAGAGTAGCGACATTCTGGCTCGGCTGTAGCAGAGACATCTTCCTGGGGTTCAGGATCACTACCCTTTCCCACCCAGAGTTCACGGGGACCCCTGGAGTTCAACAGAGAGGAGTGAACCTTACAACAGAACTGAAACAAACTAAGTCAGCCTGTCAGGTGTTTTCTGCGTCTGATCAACTAATCCCTTTATATTTTGAGAGGCTAAGAGAACAGGAGGAGGAGAAACTCAAGGGCTCTCTCTCAAAACAACTCTCTTCTACCCATCAACCCCAAACTTATGTTTCCCTTTCAAAGCAGAACTCTTCTATTTGGTAACATACTTTTTCCACAGCTATAACAACCAAGTACAGCCGAGTCAACCTAGAACCTACTATTAATTTTTTAATGAGTAGCTCTTTTTACATCTATGGAAAATTCTATACGATAAAGGGCTAGTGCTGAAAAATGAATTCTGACTATCCTTCCTAAGGTTTTAGAAACTGATACTTAAATTTTTTTTTAAACTCATTGTATTCTGTAGGGAGTTCTACTGGCATCCTAAAAGTACTTAGCAAAGGAAGCCCATTTAAAAATTCAAAATAGGGGCACCTGGGTGGCTCAGTCGGTTAAGTGTCTGCCTTCAGCTCAGGTCATGCATGATCTCAGGGTCCTGGGATCGAGCCCCATGTCAGGCTCCCTGCTCGGCGGGGAGTCTGCTTCTCCCTCTCCCTCTGCCCCTGTTCATGCTCTGTCCCCCTCCACTCACATAAATAAATAAAATCTTTAAAAATAAATAAATAAATAAAAATAAAATTCAAAACTTGGTAGAGTATGCAACTCTTTTTTCAAAAAGATCATTTATTTATTTTAAAGATTTATTCATTTAATTTTGAGAGAGAGCATGCAAGTGCGCGAGGTGGGGCAGAGGGAGAGAGAAAGGGAGAAACAGACTTCCCACTGAGTGGGGAGCGTGATGCGGGACTCAATCCCATGACCCTGAGATCATGACCTGAGCCAAAACCAAGAGTCGGATGCTTAACCGACTGTGTCACCCACGTGCCCCGAGTGTGCAACTCTTAATCTTGGGGTTGTGAGTTTGAGCACCATGCTGGACATAGAGATTACTTAAAAATATTTTTTAAATTTTTTATTTATTTAAAAAATATATTTTATTTATTTGAGAGCGAGAGAGAGAGCACAAGCAAGGTGAGGGACAGAGGGAGAAGCAGGCTCCCTGCTGAGCAGGGAGCCCGATGCAAGCCTCGATCCCGGGGCTCTGGGATCATGACCTGAGCCGAAGGCAGATGCTTAACCGACTGAGCCACTCAGGTACCCCTGCAAAATTTTTTTCAATAAAAACAAAATAAAATTCAAAATAAACAAATGGTATGGAATCACCAATCATCTTTACAACATTCCTTAGCACAGTAGCCTGGCACCTTCAGACAAATGGGTCATGTGTGAGCTGCAGAGAGACCTCACACTTTCAATCAGGAAGAGAGCCCTAGTAAGATGCTCTGACAGCTTCCCAAGTGCCCCAGAATTTAGGTTACAGGAACAAGCCTCGCCCTTCTGGCATCAGCAGTAGCTAGGCACAAGTGAAATCGACATTACCTTCATCAGTAGCATGTAGGAGATGAGGTTATGCAAAAGCGTGGCCAGCAAACGATCTTCATCATCCTCCAGGCGCTTCCGGTCATGTTCTCCCAGGGACAGGTACCTAAGCGGGAGACCAGCGACAAGTCGGCCCTCAGGTGGGAGATCACAGAACTAATTTGGAAGAGGCTGAGTTTGCATTTTCCAAGTGTTTACTAAGTCTCATACCTGTCGATCATTTCCTGGGGACCCTGGTCCATACCCATTCCTTCTCTCTCCAACATCACAGCATCTAAGAATGCATCTTCCCAGAACTGCATTTGGTCCCATAACGTAGAACGTTCTTTGCCTGCATGGAACGGAATTTTTCTAGGGGCTTATTTAACATATAAAGAATACAGCTGCCAAACCAAAGTAAAGAGTAAACTCCAGATAAAAGGGACAAATTCTAGGACAAAGCAAACGTGAGCCTCTCCACCCCAGAACTAACATTCCTGCCACCAGCCCCAGCTCCTCCAAGTGAGGCCCAGCCCCTCCCGAGGAGGAGGGAGGAACACAGCACACAAAAAAAGGTGGTTACTTATAGAAAAGGTCTCCATAGCCGCATCCTCTAACTGGTCCCACATCGATCCTTTGTCCCTTCCTGCCAATTTGTGAGCAGGAAGGACCATGGTAGCAAGAAAGGAAAGACAGACAGACAGAAAGACAGAGGCTGTTGATTAATACCAAAATCCAGTCTCTTCTAGTGCTCACCTACGGCTTTTTCCAGACCTAGTAGGTCACCTTCTTCAGATATAAACACGCCCTCTAACATCAGCACTGAGATCAGCACAGAGCTGAGCAGCTACCCATTTGGTGCCACCCTCTTCCCCATCTGAGTCCAGCTTTCCTCCAGTGCAAGAGGTCTTCCCAGTCTGTGTCTCACCTAAGAGTCCCTCGTAGAGATAGACTCGCTGGCTTACATCTTCAGACGAGCGAACTGGGCTGCCCACCAGCTTCTCCTTGACACTTGGCTTCAAGTTATGGGCTTTCCCCTACAAAGAGGTGATAGGTCAGCTGACAAAGGTACCGACGGACAGGGCACAGTAAGCCGCGCAGCGCATTAAGAGGCCCACACACCCATTACCCTCCGTTAATAACATGCACTCTAGCAGTCCTGCTTTTGCTACTGTGCTTGCCTCAAGGCTTTGACCAGAAGTCAATCTGATAATGCTGATTTCTGTTACTGCCTCCTAAAACATGCAACTGCATTTTCATTCTGCTTATCTTTACCCTTTAGTCTCTGTAAGACTCTTTGTTCTTAAAAATAAATAAATAAGAGGCAAATCCTCTGTAGCAGCATGATGCAACAGAAAAAAACACTGGTTTTGAAGTCAGACTGACCAAGATTCAGATCCCTGTGTCTTATTAGCTGTGTGACCTGAGGCATAAAACTTAGCTTCTCTGAGTCTCGTTTTCCTCACCTGTAAAAGGAAGGTTATATAATATCTACCTCTTAGGACCATTACGGGAATTAAATTAGAAAATACATATAAAGCACTTAACAATGCCTGGCACATGGTTGGTATTGGATAAATGTTAATTTCCTTTTTCCTACCATCTCTTAGAAATATCTGGCCCTTAGAAAAATCACTAACTTCACCTGCCATTTCTGCAATATTAGACTTTCTATTCATTCAAAAAAGATTTCAAGTGGGTAAGAGGCAAATTTCATGCCCATTTCACAACTCATGAGACAACCTAAGCGGAGAAGCGATTGATCAAAGGTTATTAGGCAACATCTAATTAGTGTGTCTACATGCCAGTCTACAGGTTCACAGCCTAGTTCTTTGTTCAGTGGACCATACTGACTTCATAGAACTCATTTCTTGCTAAAACAGCCTTTTTTTTGAGCCAAGAAATTTAGGTAATTGTTCTCAGCAACTCAACTGTACAAAAACAGCCCTTGCCCACCAGCACAGAACAAGTAAGAATTTGTCCCAGGAAGGTGCCAGGAAAGGCAGCATACAGCTGAATGGCTTCTTGCAAGACTGCTATCCCATAATGTCTATCTTAACATCCAGAATGGAGGCACGCTAGAAGGATTTAAAATACTCTCAATAAAATGGTCTATTTAGACTCAAGGAGAGTTAAGGTCCGTTAACTCTAACGGCTCTGCTGACCCTCAATCTCATGCTCTACCTTTGCTCAGGGATGTCATTTGCTCTATTAGAAACATACACAGAAAGCCCTGAGGGTGGGAATGATCACCAGTGTTAAATACTTTAAATTTCATCTTCCATTCGCCCCACAAACCAAAGATAAGGACTTATAAGCTCCTATAAGGAATATCCATTCGCAGGGCGCCTGGGTGGCTCACTCAGTTAAGCGTCTGCCTTTGGCTCAGGTCATGGTCTCCAGGTCCTGGGATCAAGCCCTGCATGGGGCTCCCTGCTCAGCGGGGAGTCTGCTTCTCCCTTCCCCTGCTTGTGCTCTC